GGGGGGGAGGGGAGAATGGGGTTGCGCCAGGGATGGATCATCTGTTGCTATATCAAAATTTTCCCTTTTTAACACTTATTTTCACTCCTCTATACTCCCTGTCCGCAGAATGCTAAGCAACAGATCATGAAATAAAGTTCTAAGATCAAACCTTAGTGGATTCTTGACTTAAGCATTGTCTTACAACAGTTGTCTGCTGTATCAACCTTTCGACTGCAGAATAGCTGGGGAGGTTGGAATTTGCTGCCAGCAGCATGACATAGAAAATGAGTGAGAGGACAGAATGTAGCCATAAGAAATCATAACACCAAGAAAGACCCGTTAAAACACACCAAGTATTGCTCTATTCAAACTATCGGAAACTTGCTGCCTGTACTCCAAGCTTAATAGATGAAACATGGGCGACTTTTCTGGCTCATTGTAAGCTAATAAAGCCATGAAGTCCTGCCACAAAATTCCAATACTTAGACAAGTTCAAGGTAATAAAAAGAGAATATCTGAGAGATTCGCTACGGAAGAAACGTACTTCAAGTTTTTCAACATATTTCTGCACCTTTCCAAAAGGAGCCAACTTCCTCTGTGCAAATTCCAGAGCTTCTGTGCTGCCACAGGAAGATAGTAAAAAATTGTCAGAAAATGTAAGTTCATCTCTGCCAAAGAAGCCATTGGCCTACCGTGCTCACCATTTTCTTGAGCAGACAAGTCCAACAAAATGAAGGCTCAAGAGATCAAAATGCAGATCCTTATTTTTTTCCAATAAGTCAGGAGCGAGCTGCTCTGTAAGTTCAATGGCCTTCAGTACATTCCCCTCTAGTGCCAAATGATAAATCCCTGGAGATAACTCTATGGTTAGGACTATCAATCAAACACGTCTAAAAGACAAAAATTAATAAGTGGAAAACCAGAATCCAAACGACTTCATCTTACAGCATGCCAACGCTTACCGCGGACTGGATAAACTGAATTATAAAGAGGAAAAGGAAAAAAGGAAATAAAACAGCCTCTTGTTAACATATTCAAATCTGCCCCTTCTTTATTGAAATAGGTAAAACCATCTGCAATTCCTATACATTGAAGGTGAACACAACAACACTTCGTCTCAATCCCCAAGCTAGTAGGGTTGGTTATCTGAGTTCTATACATTCATTCTGCTCACTAGGGCTCATTTCATAATTAGGGCTTTTAAATCTCGCGCTTATCCTGATATTGACACATCATTCTTTAACCAAGGTGAAAATATACCTGGTACATACTAGACTTACCATACGTGTACCAACAAAGACCAAACCTTATTCCCGACTAACCAATATTGCCTATTTGGATATTTTCTTCTAATTTGTTCTATCGTTTGCTAAGCCAACATGGACTTTAGAGATTGTAGTTCTTTTGAGACAGCTTCCTTCCATGTTATTTTAGGTCTATCTCGTCCCCTTTTAACACCTTCAATTATTGTGTTAATACATTCAATCGTCAAGCATTGGAGGATAACGATGAAGTAAAATTTGTGCCCCAAGTTTACAGTCTTTTGACATATCAAAATGAGTATGATATGCACAAAAAACAGTAGGATGCAAAATTTGTGTTGGAAAATCAACAGAAAAGCAGCATGGGCATCAAAATGAAGCAAGCTATTACAAACAAGGCTATTTCTCAAATAAAAAATGCTCATTAGGAAAAAAAAGGGGGGTTTAATTATCAAGGAAAACTTTTATCAATGCTCAGAAGCAAACCAATACTATATGGGCTTACGGAAATGTTAATGCCATTACCTGTAACACAATGAAAAGAATGAGAATAAACAAGCTTCAAGAAGCAATCTGAGCCTGATGAAAACTATCACTTACTTTTTCTCTTCTCCATATCCTCCAGATGATTTGCATTCTGCTTCATGCCAGTGGAGGCATTAAATGATTCCAACGTGTCTGTGAAGCAATTATGCTCAAGGTATGACATGACAATGTTGTGAACATCACCATCATTGACAGCCTATTGACGAAGCACGCCAGCAAAAACTAAAAGTTAGACATGATACAAGATTCATCTAAATCATAGATCTTTAATTTTTGAAAGTTTTCCAAGACAGAACAATGAAAGAGAGTCCACAAACAAGAACAAACATCTCTGGCAATAGGTTATTTTCAAAAATTTTCTTAATATTGATCTTAAAGTCAACTTTTTAAAACTTTATCAATCAACTAACTATTATTCAATCCCAAACCAGTCGGAGTTGGCTATATCCCAAACCAGTCAATCCTCATTCAGATCGAGCACATTCCATTGTTAATACTAAATCATTTTTCTTTAAGGATGAACTAGAGGTCCTTTAAAACAACAAGTTCTTTAAATCTCCCACTTATCCCTATACTAACAAACAAACAACACTCCTAGTGAACACCACACCTAATATAAGTGCAACAATAACTAATTCTTAATCCTAACTAATATCGTCTATATATCATTCGATCCCATTGTATTCTTAAGTAAGTCTACATTGGTTATGAGAGACTATAGGTCTCCTGAGACAACACCTCGTGTTTTAGGTCTATCTTGCCCTCTTTTAGCATCTTCAAACATCATAATACCAAACATGTGGACTGGTGCATATTATACTCTCCCTTTACTCGCTTCTCAATTCAAATAGTCATACAAAACAATAGTGATATACGTTTTGTTACAGACTGTTATGATATATGCTTACCACTATAAGTATAATATAATAGTGGCTCATTATTTTGAAATTGGATAAAGGTAGCAACTTGTAGTTTACTTTTTTGCGTCATCTTTCTTTTATGATGGTAGTGTCCGAACCAGCTTACACGCACCTCGACTATTCCACCGAGTACCTGTTACTGCCCACAAGTACAGGTACTTAGTAACTCGCCCACTAAAACTTAGGCATATGGCAAAAAATCACCCAGTATTTTCTTTTTACAGAAACTCAATCTCTAATTTTCAACAAACACAATACCCATGCCTTGGATGACTTCAACAATTGGTCAAATTGATCCTCCAAAAGCAAAATATGATTAAGGAAGGGTAAAAGACGATAAGGTTTCCCCAATTTCCCTAATAAGAAAAAATTATATGAATAAAAAAAAACTAAACAACCCCATATATACATATGACCACAATGTCACATATACAAGTAGCCAATTATCAAAAAGAACTGTCGAAGTCAATTATTAACAAATTACAGATTCAAAAGATTTGAACAAAAGGTCAATTGTACTTATCAAATAACTAAAACTTCGAACGGTAATAGAACATGAAAACGAACCAACTTTATATTGAAATTGCGGAATAAGAGAAAATTAACTTACAATGTGTTCGTATTGTCGGGGATCAATATCCATTCGTCCACCACACCCTTAAAATTATTCGATTATTACTGCGTTGCTGGTACACAATTTTTGGTCGGTTGGAAGAAGAACAAATTTTTTTGCAAAGTAACCCTTGCACTGCTATGCAACGTTTTGATGGCTGCGTTCTCTCTCTGTGTGTGTGTGTGTTTAATAAGACTTTGAAGCAGAGGGAAAGACTGCGGATTTTCGTTGGATACGTTATTTTTCTTGGTTTAGGAATTAGGACACGGCGCCGGGCAGTGGGATCTATCTTTATACGGAAAACTTTATATTAGTGGATTAATTTGAATTTGATACTTTAGCATAAGTTAAAAAGTTTACTGAAATTATAATAAATAATTAGATATGAACCTATTAAGCTATTAGCAGTGGTTGCTTACATACGGACATGTAAGCCTTCTAACTTTAAATATATAATAAGTTTGGTATTAAGAATTTTAAATACTGAACCATAGATCTTAAATGCTAAATTCGTTTATCCAGTTTACTCTCGCACAATCTTTTTCCCTTAAATATGCTCCTTTCACTAAATATTTTCGATCTTTGAAAAATTAGTTTTGTAGGTTTTGATTGTTCCAGAGTATATTTGGATCTTTTCAGTTGTTTAAGGACATGTTACAATATAATCCTATCAGGTGGTGTATCAAGTTAACAAGCAATTTTTCTTTTATGAGGTAAGATAAATTTCACTAAAAATACATCAAGTACATAAAAAGGCTTTAGAAGTGAGCAAAAAGATGTCACCTCCTTCACATAAATTGAAAATAAATGTTGAGGAGGGGAAAGAGAGATGAAACTTGAAACACAAATGAGATGCTTGCCAATGCACTTGAAGTAAGAATTAACCTAAATAGTCGCTCACTCAACTGCTTAACTAAAAATAGTCCACGGATATATAATATATGTATAATCATTGTATAATCTATATACCGATTAAGAAAAGTAACATTAAATTTGACAAGCTATTTGTGTAAAAATTCAAAGTAAATTAAACTTAATATGATCCTCGAGCACATCTTACGCACGTAGGATCGCCATAAATTTAAAACTCAATAATCCAAAGTAAATAGTATTAAGAAACAAATGACAGAACCTAAGAAAATAATACTTTTTTCTATTTTAAAAATATTAATCTGTTAACGAATAAAATTTATTTCATAATATTTAACATTTTAGAAAAATAATACTATTAAGTCATTTAAGAAGTAACGGCCTTATGGAGTTGGAATTAGGAACATCTATAACCTCAAAACAAAATTAGATAAGTGCTTTTCGCCAAACATTACTGTAATCTTTAATACCTATATGAAACAGATTAAATAAATTGCCCAACCCTCTTTTTCTTTTTTTTTTTTCTTGTTTAATCATATCTAACATAGTAATTCCATTGTGTAAAAAAGATACACTGTACAAGTATACACAGAAGTATACTAACTGATTATAAAACTAACTAATTACCACTCCACGTGTCGTTTCTTCATTGGTCATATACTAACTGATTATACAACTAACTGACAGAGAGTATTTTATGCAAAAGCTGAAGTATGTGTTTCCACGTGTGAGAATCTTCTGGATATAATATCGGCGAACAGCTGTTCCCATATCAAACGGACGTCCAGGATCGTAAGCTGCATCTCCAGTCTCCAGATATGGGGCTAGGATGATGCCACGCCGTATGTGCACATGGATCGAGATACATTCCAATTTCTCAACACTCGCGAGCCAAAATTCGTTGACTATTTACTTTTTGTTATAAAATAAAAACTATAAAGTAAATAAATCGAATACAAATATAGAGATTGATATATTATTCAAACTTCAAATTTATGTAAATAATGAACTGAAAATTCTTTTATTTATAAAAAAAGGAAGCAGATGCGAGGTTTTTCAGGAAGCAGCTGCAAGACTTTTCTTTAGCTGCTTGTAAGTTGTCTGCATGAGCTGCTTGCAACCTGCCTGTTTAATAAAAATCTACTGCAAATCATTTCATTGGGCTTCTTGCAACCTGCCTGCATCAGCTGCTTGTAGATAAATTTCAACAAAGTACTAAATGGATAATCTTTTTCAGGAAGATTATCTATAGCGGAATAATAAATGGACATTCACAATATAATTATTTTCATAACACTCCCCCTTGGATGTTCATTAAAAGGTATTGTGCCTCGTTAAAACCTTACTAGGAAAAACTCAGTGGGAAAAATTCTAGTGAAGGAAAAAGAGTACACATATTTAGTAATACGCATTTCTAGCTGCCTCATTAAAAACCTTATAAGGAAAACCCTGTGGGAAAAAATCTTAGTAAAGAAAAAAGAATACATCGTGTATTTTATTCCCCCTGATGAAAACCTTGTTTTAAATATTTGAGTCTCTGCATTCCAATCTTGTATACCATCTTCTCAAAAGTTGAAGTTGACAAAGATTTAGTGAATAAATCTGTCGGATTGTCACTTGAACGGATTTGTTGCACATCAATGTCACCATTTTTCTGAAGATCGCGTGTGTAGAATAATTTTGGTGAAATGTGCTTCGTTCTATCTCCTTTTATAAATCCTCCCTTCAATTGGGTTATGCATGCAGCATTGTCTTCGTATAAAATTGTGGGTCTTTTCTCACATTCCAAACCACATTTTTCTCGAATAAAATGAATTATTGATCTCAACATACGCATTCCCTACTTGCTTCATGAATAGCTATTATTTCAGCATGATTTGAAGAAGTAGCAACAATAGATTGCTTTGTGGAGCTTCATGATATGATAGTACCTCCACATATAAACACGTATCCGGTTTGAGATTTAGCTTTATGGGGATCAGATAAATAACTTGCATCTACATAACCAACAAGATCTGCACTATCTTTGTTAGCATAAAACAAACCCATATCAAGAGTTCCCTTTAAATATCGCAATATATGCTTAATCCTCTTCCAATGTCTCCATGTAGGAGAAGAATTATATCTTGCTAGTAAATTAACAGAAAATGCTATGTCAGGCCTTGTAGCATTAGCAAGATACATTAGTGCACCAATTGCACTGAGATAGGGTACTTCGGGACCAAGGAGTTCCCCATCCTCTTCTAGAGGTCGGAACAAATCTTTATTACTTTAAGTGATCGAACAACCATTGGTGTACTCAATGGGTGCGCTTTGTCCATGTAAAAGCGTTTTAAGACCCTTTATGTATAGGCAGATTGATGGATAGAGATCCTGTCTGTTAAATATTCAATTTGCAGGCCAAGACAAAGTTTTGTCTTTCCAAGATCTTTCATCTCAAATTCTTTCTTAAGATATTCAATTG